TCTCTCTCTCTCTCTCTCTCTCTCTCTCTCTCTCTCTCTCTCTCTCAGAATTAAAATATATATCATCTTAGAAAACAAAAATTGAACTTAATCTGAAATTAAAAAATACAGACAAAATTAACATTAATTTTAAAATTTATCCTTTTTGTTTTATCCCTTTTTTAATCCTTTTTCTAATAATCAATATTTGTGACACATAAATTTTCGTACAAATCGGAGCGTATTCCAAGACATGAGATTTCAGTCTGAATATTCACATATATGTATATATATATTATAACTGATTATTTGAGAAACAATTCAAACAATTATTATCACTTATCAATTATTATTGTTACTCATCAAACATTGATATGTCAAACTATGTGAAATATCATCTCTGGTTGTTGCGAAACAGTACAATTTCTGTTCAAGTTTCTCGAATAACCGCAATAGTTACACACGAATATTTAGACAGGAAACATCCTGCTGCCCTCGATATGCGAGCGAATTCATATGCTAAGCAATTATAACTACATTTACTCTATACTCTCTAAATTCTTTGGAGTGGAATCTCATTCTAAAGAATAATAATTGAGTCAGCCTCGAAAAAGAGTGACTCAATTTTCAATCTTAAGAATAAGATTTTACTCTTCAGACTAAGATTTATTCTAAATGTTTTATAAAATACGTTTATTAAAAATTCAGTGATCTTTAAACTGAATTAACTCAATTTTTTTCACTGTTTCTTTCTTAACGATCGGTTCTTATGTAATAATTTCTTTTTTATATTTTTATCTCGTTAGATCCATCGATCTTAGAATATAAATAAATGCATTCTATTCGTTTATCTCAACTTGGTAAGAGTCGACAGGAGTGACAAGCTCATTTACACCTCATTTGTGGTGCAGCTATATATCTGTATTCTATCAGACTTTACCATATACTGTCTCGTAAAAGCAATATTTTGCCGAAACTCGTTTTAGCTTATATTACAAAACTAGAAACCTATTAAAGAATAAAATTTTGTAATTATTGTAATTTTATTCTTAAAAACATTTTAATGAATAAAATGGTATGCTCCTTATTTACGGTGTAGATACATGTTTTTATGCTGATATTTTATCTTCAAGAAGTAATATTATATCATAAAACCTTGATTTCTTTTTTTGAAGCTCCGAAGGCGCGTATAGAGCCGGATTTTGCAAATTAATTCTTGAAAATTTTTTAATAATAAAATTATGTACATCTGGACTGCACTGTAGTACACATTGAGGTGAGATATATCAATAAATTTTTATTTTGCCTTTTTTTCAAAAAAATCATTCTGTACAATCCTTCAGGAGTCTTTTCTGATTACAAATATCGCAATTAAAACGTGATTTATCCAGTATTTGAGCCATAATTTCAGCATAAAGAAATTCTTCTTTAACTAGAAATCTCTCCTGTCGACCCTTAACTCATTGATTAACGGCGAATCGAACTTCCACGCTCAATTTGATTTATCTGGCAATTGACAAAACATGTGAAGGATCTTACGAGACAATTCGTAACGCATCTTCCGCTATTAATTATCGCGCTTTGGCCTATAATTACGTGCGCTGATAAGCGAGTCAGCTCTTATCGATGAGCAGATCTTATCGGCGTGTGATCTGTCCGACATGCGCACGGTGCGCAACACGTGCACGCAATCGCGTAATTCTGACGTTGATGCGTAACTATAGAGCCTAATTACGGATAATTGTGAAAATGATTAATGCATCAATTACGCGTCAATAGCGAATGCATGAGAAAAACAATGTTGTAGAGATCGATGTTGAATCGTCACATCATCATTCATCGAAACAAAATGTTTACTATATCTTTGTAGAGAAAAATGTAAACATTATCCAAACTTCTTTTTTATTTCCATGATTGAAGATACGAAAGTTTTTTATTTTTCCATATCGCTAATTTGTAGTTATTAATACTTTACACGCATACCCACGTTTCTCATTGCGTTTTTAGAAATATAATTTCATTGCAATTCTCTTGGATAGACAGATATCCACGTGGTAACGTCGCGATAATTGAGAATAATGAAATGACAACTCGCGCATGCTGCTTCACGTGTCGCTCAACGCGTTGACGCTCGTATTTACCGTCAATGTAATTGTATTAAACGATTCAATAATTTCTCTTCATTCTCTTATATTTCGGTCTAAATCAAAATTCGCGAATTTTTACGAGTCTACAGCTTAATTTCTCGTTTATTAAAAAACGTATTTATATCATATTGTTGAAACTGTGATTGATAATCCCGTAAAATTGATAATCCTTTTCTTCTTTTCAGGGCAAGATCGAGTACTTTGTCAAATGGAAAGGATGGAGCAAAAAGTGAGTACGAAATCGAAAGTCTAATTAAATGGATGATGTTCGTAACTGAGATGTAATTTTTCTTGTATTTTTAGATACAACACGTGGGAGCCGGAAGAAAATATTTTGGACATCAGATTAATCGAATTATATGAGGAAAGCCAAAAAGGTGCAGATGTTGTACCCACCAGAAGGCCAAGGCGAAGGGATACTAGATACAGCGTAAGAATATATTTTTTCGTAATAAATACTTTTCTATTTCAAATAAACGACTTTAATAATTGCGTTAAAATTGAACAAAACGCCATAATTAAACAATACAGTTTTATTTAAAACAAATAATATTTTATATCCGTAATCTGTAGTCCGTCGTTTTACATAAATCATTTTACTCATTATATTAAATTGAGTATTAGTTATCTCTAACAAAAATTCAATTATTAGATACAAACTATACAAAAAAATTCAAATATCGTCAAGTATGTTTTTCTAAAAAAAAGACAGATTTATTTATCATAAAGTTTTTTAAACATATTCTATTTTTAGGAAAGGAAAGATATTTAAATAGTACTTAATTAAAAATTGTATTACATATAGTATACATGTGTAATATAATTAACAAATAGTATATATACATACATATAGATACAATACGAATATACACACACATATATATATATATAATAATCGCCAAATATTTCATGGGCAGGTAAAGCGGACTAAATTGAGTCGAAGTCTTCTACCATTTTGCAATTTTTGCAATTTTATATGTATATATAACTTATATGTTGGTATCATGTTTTTGGTACGAAGAGATCATTTATCACTTCCTCATTACACTGAATCACTTTAATAGCTTAGTATCTTGGCGAACTTTATGGTGTTCTTCCCTGAATATGAGCTGCTCATAAAATCTTTCTTTACTTTGTAAAATAGTCGTAACTTAAACTCGAGAGTTAATAGGATCATAGAGTTTGATTAGAAACGTGTTTTTTGCACACAATTTAATAGGCGACATTCATCTTCATTTTCAGGAACAATTATCTAATCTTGTTGTCGATGAGGAACCTGGCGGAGATGAAAGGGTAGGCGAAGACAGTCAAGATGAATCGACGACGGGCAGCACTTCAGCATCTCGTTTAAATCCAGTAGCTCCTGATGAGGACACCCTCCCAAGTTCCTTAGACAGCCATGAGTCGCCAGAGTTAGCATCAACGTTCAGCGTCGATTCTGACAGTTCAGTCAGTAGTATGGACATACCTCTATTGCCTAGAAAAGAACGTATGAAAAGGAAGGCGGAAGTTCTTAGTCGATCTGGGAAGATTGGCGTAACAATTACCACGAGTAGTCCTAGTAGTGGCAGTAGTAGCCCACCTCCGAGCAAAGTTCCTCGGTTATTGCCTTTGAAAAACAACCCCACAAATCCATCTTATGTAAGTTTCGATAATTATATATAATTATATAACAACTCATTAGCATTATGTTGAACGCTATTAAAATTAAATTATGATATGAGATTAAAACAATTTTTTATATACATGTAACAAATTAAAAATACGTAAATAAAACTCTCAAACTAATTAATGTTGCAACAAAAACTTAAAAACATCTAATTGATATATAAAAATTGTTTAACTTTCGTACCTGAATTGCAATCCATTTAGATTATAAAACGATAAAAGTGTGGCTAAGGAATACACAAAGGCATTCAAAAAGGAAATACATACCTAAAAGTACCAATAATGGCATTTTGATGTTGTATCTTCCTGATTGATAAAAGCAAGATTTACATTTTACATTATAGAATCACAAAGCCAATGGACAAAATCAAAGAAGGCCGTCATCCTCCAGCGTGAAATCGACACCGGAAGAACCTCTGCCGGCAGTGCCAACGACACCGGCGCCAGCAGTACAGGACAAAAAGCGTCCCGAAGCTGATGTACCTCATGGTCCGCCACCCTCTCTCCCGCGTGCACCACCGGCACCGCTGTCTCCTCAGATAGATACACCTTTGGAGCAAGTCACAACAAAGAAGAAGCAATTATCGGAGCAAAAGTTGGAAAAATCGAATGGTGAAGTTGCTGCTGACAAAGCGAACGGTCACAAATCACCCAGTCCCACGGACTCTTACACTAATAATAACAGGTTACACGCTGTCGTGAATGGACACCATAGCCCTAATAATAATAATAATAATAATAATAATAACAACAACAATAATAATAATAACAATAATAACAACAATAATAACAACAACAATAATAGTTCAAGCGTCAAACAAACCGAGATTTCGAGGTCAGAGATTTATGTTCCACTCACGAATCCCGGCACGGATTATTGGCACGCGAGAAACCCCGTGGCGGATCAAGTGTTTATTACAGACGTTACTGTTAATCTGAAGACCGTTACCATCAGGGAATGCAAGACTGAAAAAGGTTTCTTTCGAGAAAGAGATCCCAAAGAAACTCTTTGAGCTTCAAGAATCTAACATCTTTGATGGTCCTGCAACAGGAATGTCCGCTCTAAGTTGTATTGAATCACAATATGTAAATATAAATTATTTTTATTCGTTAGATGTTGTCAGGATACCAAGCAAATTAAATTTTGTCTTGTGATATATGAAAATATCATGTTAAGTATCGCAATAAAAATCGCGAAAGTATCACGTAAAGATGGAGCACTAATTGGAATCCCAAAAATATCAAACAGACGCTGAAACAAAGATCAATCAATCAGACCTCATTACATGAGGATCCGCGATTTTTTTTAATTGAAAATTGATCGTTGTGTCCAGACAAATCATTGTGTACGATTTTGTGTAAATTGATTGTAAAGACTAGACAATGTCAGTGTGATATTCATTACAGAATATACATCATACTGCTATCATGATATATTTTAAAATGCTTGGTAGATTTTAATTACACGCTGAAGATCTGGAAGACATTAGAGGATAATCTTTTAATTGATTTTATTATTTGCTTGTCTTAGAACGCTAAGAGAATGCTACAAAGTAAAAATCTTCAACTTTTGTTTTTACACTACGGGATATATATTATATACACGAGATATACTTAGGAAAAAAAAATATTTTTCTAATTCATTTTTAGAATACTGAAATTGCTTTGTGGAAGCAATTTGGGGGGAGATGTTCCGAGTTATTTTGAAGGGAAAAATAATGGTTTTCAACGCGTTACAATGTTGTATCCTATTCATCGGTGAATATTTTACTACGTGCTGGAAAATAGAGTATCGCGAAAGAAAAATGTGTAAATTATATTTTGAATGCATGTAAGAAAATGTATGATTCAAGAATTTCAGGTGATTATAAAATGTCATTCGATTCGGAAGAAACACAATTGCGCATAGTATTTCAATCATTATTAGTGGTGATGCGTTTTCTTGGTTCGACTTGAACTTCGCGATACCAGTTCGTCGATAGATGCATTTCGATGCTATCGAATGTTTTATGTTTGTGTATATTCTCACTTGGTATATAATTATTTTTATTTAGTGTAGAAAGTCCAGCATATATCGATCGTGACAGTTCCGCGAGATTATTGCATATCTCTTAGTGAATTCATTTTATTTGTAGAGATTCCGATTGTCAAATATCACCAAATAAGAGGATGCTCCTTTGATAATATATAAAGGCGCGTTGAAATAAGTACAATAATCCAAATCTAATTATATTCAACATCTGATTATATTTACACGCTACTCGATATATACTGTTACCTCGTTTTAGTGATGCTGTATGGTGTATTAGGCAACTTTTAAAATGACTTTCAATCGTATCATTTAGATTGCATTGATAAATCTTCTCATTATTACACTTATCGTTATTTCGTTTACAATGCGCGCGTCATCAATTCTTTCGCACTCCTACACAGTAAAGCTTAAGACTCGCTCAGATTTCATGATTACATAAATAAAAATAATATCATATAATAGTTCAATAATAATAAACAAACATAAATAACAAGAAGGGACTACAAGACAGATCTTTCTTGTAAATCTGGCTTGTAGATCCTTGTTTTTTATGTTTGTTTATAAATGAAAATTTTATTCTCTGATTTGTGAGAAAAAAAATCTATAAACTCTCAGAAAGATAAATAATTGAAAAAATTTACAATTTGCTTATAATGCCATGGTTGTCGTTGTGTCTCAACAGTTAAGACAAGTTAAAAATTTGTCTTCCTCTTGAATTGAAAAAAACAACATACTATTTTAGAATACAGTATCACGTTTTCTCATTTCTTATATATTTTTATTTTCTTTAATTATTTTTCTTATCGAAAATTGATTTTTTTTCTCCAATTATCAAATGACACAATTCCCTGATTATTAGATCTCTTTGACATTTGCTTCTGTACGGAGCAAATCCTATTGCAGTGTTAAAGAAGCCACATGAGAAAAAAATAAAGAAATATTCGAGCATATTTTTCACACATATTTTTCGAATTAAATTACTAAATATATGTATGTGTGAAAAATGATGAAAAGAAATACGATAATACAATAAGCTAATAATTTTTGTTTCTTTAGGTCCTGCGCACAATAGCAGGAATAAATAATTAGGAATAAAGAATAAACGATTTTAAAAAACCAAAACAAATTAGGGATAATGAGAGTTTTTTGCGCGGTTATATATATTAGTGCGAAAATAAAAATTGTTTATTGTCGAAAAACTATAATATAATTAGTTATGCATAAACGTTTCGACCTACTTCCGGGCCATCATCAGTATGTCTGAACGTATGTTGTAAAATTCTTACTTCTTCATAGTGAGACGGTAGAGTGGCAACTCAATCTCCTTATTCTATTGGCAATGGTTGACAATTCCAGTGACAACGAATAAAAATCCATATAAGCATAGATGAAAAACGTGAGCATAAAAAAATCAATCAAAGTCAAAAGGCAAAGGATCCGCAAATTATTCATATTTAACGGTATAATTCACAACCATTCCGAATATTGTGACGGTCAACATTCAAATGGCAATTAAACGATTTTAATCTATCAGAAATCGAATACATCGGAATACATGGTTTCTGATAGGTTGAAATCGTTTATTCTTTATTTCTTATTCCTTCTATTGTACGCAGAACCTTATGCTATAATAGAATATTCTTCAGAAAATGTTCTGTGTGTTTCAAGCAAAAGTACGTTAGCTATATAATTTCGTTTTACAATTAAGTGACCAAATGCAAGTGACAATTATGCTTGCGCTTATTTGCAAATGAATAAAATGTTTAATACATACGCTTCTTTCTCGCATATTTATAGGGACAGAAATTTGAAATTAGCGAAATTAGACTAATGACTCAGTACTTGCTTTGGAGTTTCTTGTTATATTAGACACGTACAGCATCGCTAAAGCGCGATGCGGTTACTTGATGAAGCAAAAGACTACAACAGTGGTAGGGCCCCTGCTGTGGATAGTGTTATATTAAAGAAAAAGAATTTCTTGGGTTAAATATATATTAAACGCGTAAGTATATATATATTGTATATATATATTTAAATATATATATTAAATGCATTAATATATATTTAACATGTACGATACGTGTTAAATTTAAATATATATACGTTGCTTATTTATTACAATTAATACGAGAACTTTTAGGTTTCTACGTCCTTAATATAGTTGTAATTAGAATGTATTATATATGTGCGGTGTGTCTTATTTGTGAGTGTATTTGGCATGACGTTATTTCCTGCGTCTAGCACGATTTACTACGCGTGTCCCAATGGTCGTTGTGACTCAATGAGATTTTAGAGAAATTTGTCAAAAAAGGAAATTCCAACGACTCCTCTTGAAAAACAGATCAAAGAGATAGATCTATGTGCGTGTTTGTTCCTTTTGTTTTTAAACGGGGGCCATTCGCATAAGATTTAGATTGACATATTCGTTATAATTATCAATGCGGAAGATTGAAGATTGAAGTATACATTTCAACTGTTGTGTAATGTAAACCACTGTATATATTCATATGGAAAGCGTTTCCTGTAAAAAGAAAATTGTACATACATAGTTTGAATGACACTTGTACGTTTCGCTGTGACGGGCGAAGCATGTGTGAGAAGGATGGCTTATATAAATCTTTGAATTATCAGTTGTATATAGATAAAGAGACGCGGAAATCCCCTCCCCCCTACCCTTTTAGTTGTAAATATAAAATTGCAACTAATAGAGCTATAGAGAAAAAAAAGAGAGAAATCCTTTTCTTAGCTTTAGAACTTCAAGATAGACTGTGCGCGTACCTTCGATATTGTTTCTGTACTTATAAATATATTCAGACTACTTATACTGATAAAGAAAAAAAAAAGAGAAAAGGGAGATGAAAAAAAAGACATGAAACGATAACGCAGTGACTACGCAGGCATATACGATACGTGAACCCCGGTAGTACCAAATTCAACGGTAATTTTAGTTCTGTCTGGTACAGATTCCTTATATTTCAATAAAATCTCTACTTGAAGTCAGGCTGTTTTTAGATCCTAGATCTCTTCCTCAAAGGCATTCGAATCTCAATGGCACTCGCATGCCACAATTGTCATATATCTGCCTTGTATATAATAGTTACATATAACTCAATCATAATAATTGTATATAACTTGTCTTAATCCGTGAGCTTTAATGACTCTTGAGTGAGCTAATCTTGAGTGCGATTATGAAGAGTAAAATGTTAATTTTCGTTTATTTCTCTTATACAGCTTTTAGTTCGTAAATAAAAAGACTATAAGTACATAGAAGTAATTTAAAAATTTTTTTTATCAATCTTATATATATATAT